TCGAAAAAATGTGCAAAAGGGAAATGTGGCATCAGAGGAAGGAACAGGTAGGAACAATTGCTTTAAAAGCAAAATAAGGCAAAAGGAGTATGTATAGTATCTTTAAGTAAAATAAACAAAAGGAATGTAAAGTAAATTATGATGGAATTGCTACATCCAATCCGTTGCCAAGGAAGCCGGGAAATGGTGGGTTCCTTGTACCGGACCAAAAAGTATTTAACACCATCAGCTATCTTATACTTATACGAGAGCCAAATTAGACCAAAAATGGAATATTTTTGTCACATCTGGGCTGGAGCTGCCCAGAGCTCCCTAAACTGCCACAACCGAGTTCAAAAGCGCTTACATCTTGTTAGGAGTGACTTGTTCGCTACCCTACAACCACTCTCACATAGGCGTAACGTTGCAAGCCTTGCGTTATTTTATCGTTACTTCCACGGCAAATGCTCCGTGCAACTCCATTAGCTAGTGTCGCCACTTTGAAAATTCTCAACAAGGACACGTCTTGCCACTTCCACCGAAGCAAATCACCCTTTCTTTCTCCATTCACCGCCTCTTAGGAGGAAATTCCATGCTGAAAGCTTCTCTGTTGGTGTAAGGCGTCCCACGGTTACACCAGCAAATATCTCATTTTAATATGATAATAAGCTACTGCAATATTGTAATAAACTAGCTGCAGCCTGGATGCTTGTAAATATGCAACAGTTTGAGTGATAACCCACTGTCTCTGCCCCGCCTGCCGTTTAGCATTTGATTAGCGCGCTAATTCCATCCTGTGGAGCCCCTCTTTTGTTACCTCTTTTGTTAAGGCTGATCAAGAGTAGAATTCATATCAGGCTTGCATACATATCACAGACAAAACAACTATTTGACGCTCCTTGCTGTAATTCTGTTCTAACTCTGTCCACAAAAAAGCTATATGTAAGTTACCTCCAGCATGACCTACAAAGGGTCCTTTCAGGAAGGGTCATGGATATTAGAATTAATAAAGAATGGGGATATTGAAAAGGAGAACGAGCCACGGTATTATCAACTGCCCCTGTCACAAAAACCTGAACATGGCCTCCCGATCTACCCAAACCAAAGGTGTCTGGAGCTGCTGCTCGGCTGTGGCCGTCTACTTAAAACTTTTGTAAACATTAGGCGATGGGCAGGACGCTAGAAATTGTTTGGAATAGAAAAAGGTTATTATAAGGTACCTTATAACCATCGTGGATATAGAGCATGGAGTTATGATAGAGTTACCCTCAACTTTTTCCGGTTAAGCTAATCCCAGTGTAAATACGCCCAGTATTGTCCCGTTCATACTAGATGCCAGGCAGTTCTCAGGGTCAAAACACAGGCTAGCCCTATATTACAAATGTACCTCCTTGATTAGACCCTGTGAAAGGATTTTCTTCAGGAAAAAGTTGACCCCTTGGACCATGCTTGGACCGAGAAGGTAGCCTCCAAAGCGGCCCTGGTAACAGTCTGGCACCCTAGCTATGACCGTTATTAAACATCTCATTCAATTGTTGTCAATTTGTTGCTGTCTGTAAAACATTTTCCTTCAAGACCTCTCTTGCTGGAAATTGAATCAAAAAGGAAAGCTGGGCCTAGCTGTAGTGAATAATTAGAGCACGCATAACAAAAGACTACCAACCTTTTGTCTTGAGGCAAGTGCAAATTACAGATAATTACGTCTCATTGGGGTGCAAAATTCACGACTGATTGGCCTACTGACTTGATTGGCAGCAAGAATAAGCTAAGAAGGAAAAGATTCATAATCTAAACTTTAAAACGTTTCACGCTCGTCCCCAGCGCCCGTGGAGAAGCCATAGGTTATAGATCGTGGCTTAGCCGAAGCTACGGAAAATAAACTTTCTTTAATGCAAATCTGTCGTTTTTGTTTTCTTTGTGTCTTTCTAAAGGGTTGTGATAACCTACTTTATTTGGGTGGTATTTTCGTGCGCGCTCGCTAGTACGTAACGTTACACGGCGGCGATCTGACACTGCATTTTTTTCTACCGTAGCGGGTCTGAAACAAGAGGCAAGATTCCTATTTTGGGGTATAAAATGTTGTCACAGTGGTAATACACTATTTGAAACAGACCTATACAAAGCACCTCTCTTTGGCGACGCTAGGGTGTACCGTTACCTCTCTAAATTTGCCCAGAAGGGAGTTAGTCACAAAAAAGGAACTTAGCCACGGAGGGAGTTTGGGCATTATCCACGTACCCAGGTCTGTTTGCGAAAGTCGTCCCCTGATTCGTTAGAGCAATCTAACCCCGCCCCGTCTACTCTCATTCCCAGGATATGCAGTGTAACTCAAGTAGCCCTCATGCGATCTATCTATGTATTGCATGTAACACACGTAGCCCTCATGCGATCTAGCTACAATGGGTGGGGTAAGCTGACGATCTTATTGTTTCCGACGCTGCGGAGGAGCGTGAAAGCGTTCTGAGGAACTATAGCCATGGCCCATGCCCAGGGAACGTCAGACTTGAAGTGGAATGATTGGTAATGTCATGAACTACCAAAACTTGTTTAAATCATCTTGCTTATCATGAACTGTCTTTTGATATAGGACAAGGAAGACAGGACTGCCCTAAAATTGTGGCATTGAAATGGACGAAAACATATTTCATACAAAACAGGAATGATACTTTGAATATACTTAAACAGTTTTGAAATGTTAACAGATGTAAGAATGTACCCTCCAAAAAGCGTACGTCTCTGATGTTGGGAATAGTTCCTCGATTTACGTTTTTTGTCAAAGAATTATACATTATATCAGACATAGAAATATGAAAATATATTAAATATAATAACATGACTTTGATATTTTTTTTCCCCCAAGTTTGAACAATTTCTGACCACCTACTGAGTTATGGCATTTTTCCGAAAAGACCTGAAAAATCAGTAAACCGTGGGACGCCTTACACCAACTGAGTTCTTTCCAAGAACAACATCACAGCTACCTCGTGATTGCGTTTTCCCCTATGAGCATAACCTTAAACTCTTCAAGTCTAAGGTCAACAAATATTTCTCCTCACTGGCTGTTCTGTAACCCAAAACATTTTGAGTGGCTCCCATGAGCCTTGTTTTGTGGTGACCAAATGAAGTAAATAATAAAAAAAAAAGATAGCTTATAAAAAATCCGAATCATCGGCACCATCAGCATAATTTTTTCAGCCTTATTTGAAACAAAATGGTTTGAAATCCAAAATGAAAAGGGCTCACGTAGTAAGTAATGAACAGTTTACGAACCAGAGGGTGAAATTGAGGGTAACCAGTCTTCAGTGGTCATCAAGGTCATGCATAACCCTACATACCGGAAAGACCTACGCCAAGGAGCATCTGATCAAGGTATATTCATTCCTTTTTAGTTTCCATATAGGATGTACGGATGTCAGAACACGTGTTAAAATACGTCTGCTAGTTATAATCACAGACAACACCTAAATTTTTGAGCTATTAAAAATTTGATGATCAATCTAGTTAGGAGTAATTGCAGTAGTAAAAAGTGTATACTTAATGGCTAATTTTGCAAAAGGAACAGAAACATATGATGTAAGTACATTGTAAATTAGCACAATGCATATACTAGTAATGCATGCATAATCATTCTGTGACCATGTGTCTTTTATAGCCCCTACATGCGTCGGGGGGTGGTTGGTAAGAATAGAAGTTGGCTAAATAGATATCTCAAATATCTCAAAATGAGATTCCAGGAGAGTTTGTGTAGCGGACGCTAGAAAGTACAGTTGGCAGAGTGCGGAAACTCTACTCTTTAGCGGACTAATTCCCCTGTCATGTTATCTCTCTATTTGGCCAAATTTTATTCTTTCCAGCCGTCTCCCGAAGCCTTGTAGAGGCACGTATTTTATAGTAATTCTTATTGTTTTTCCAACGTGGGGTCGTGTGGCGCAGTCGGTAGCGCGTTCGGCTCACACCCCAGAGGTTGTGGGTTCGAACCTTGCCCATGTCACCGATCTTGTGCCCTTGGGAAAGGCACTTTACACGACTTTCCTCACTTCACTCAGGTGAAAATGAGTACCTAGCTTCGGTTAGGGACGTCCCTCGGATAGGACGTTAAATGGAGGTCCCGTGTTTGGGAGAGCCACACCCCACGCACGTTAAAGAACCCACCGCACTTATCGAAAAGAGTAGGGGATCTTCCCGGTGTGAGTGGTTCAAAACTTACAGTCCGGTCTTACGCAGCTTGTACATGTGCGCACATGTACAAAACTGGTGTGTTACGCCTGAAGGCGGTTTACCGGTTATGCGAAACAAACAAACAAACAAACAACCAGGCGCCAAACCCATAGCCAACAGGCAAGACCAGACTGATTGGAGGTCACTTGCGGACGCCGCCGCGACTATACCAAACACGATGTACGTCTCAAGAGGAGGTAAAACGACTTCTAAAAACTATTCATGAGTCCTTGTGGGGTTTTTGTTTTGCTGTTTTGGTCTTTGTGTGTGTGGGGGGGGGGTATGATTTGCCACTTTTTCTTCTGTGACGTGAGGCTATTTTGTGGTGATCATGGGTTGAAAGCTATCAAAATGCGGTCTCAGAACGGCAAAATATATGTGTGCGTGAAGTGGTTGAAATAGACCAAAAACAAGCTACGTAATGCTGGGGTCACATTTCCAAAACGGGGCCCGGCCGGGCAGTCTTATGAAACGAAAAGTATGATATAAAAGAAAACAAAGCACAAAAAAGGCGGCAAAATGAATAATTGGAACTTTTTGCGTATATTATTGATGTAAATCATTGATTTTTCGTTAATCGAAGCAGCCCGGCCGGGCCCCGGTTTGGAAATGTGACCTAAGCATAAGGTGTCCCTGACATCGTATTCTTAATTATCTCATAGGCATCAAAGAACGATGTGATAGGATTGATTCAACCTACTACTGTATATATTATAAAAGAATGAAGAGATTTTGACGTCGAAAATTGATGCCTTAACGAAGGTTATTCTTAGTATTATTCTTTTCGCCAACCAATAGACTACATGATTGGGGCAGACACCAGGGTGAAGAAGTACATCCACCTGTGTAAGAAGTTCCTGACAGGCACGGGTCTCTTCTTCTTCGCTGTGGTCATGGCCCTGCTGTTTCCATTATTTGCAGGTTGGTCGTTGCTGTAGTGTGTAGAATGCTGTTTGTTTTCATTGGATATGTTGGTTATGTTGCTTTGTATATTCTGAATGTATAAAATTAGATACGTTATATGATTATGATTCTTTCATCTCATTTACCCCTAATTCAAATTGTGGAAAAGAGCTACTCAAATTCAATACAATTATGACATTAGTCGTCTATATGCGAACTGATTATTTCTTTTTTATCATTTCTTTCTCTCTTCCTTTTATTCATTCATTGCCACTTCTATTCCAATTTAGACAATGTTATTCAAATTTGTAAACACTGTTAAGATTTTTATCTGGCCATCATCAGGTTCGAAAGACCAGTCACTTAGGACACGTTACTTACATGTGACGTTAGTTATAGTTTGTCTTCTTTCTTTATCTTCGTGCAGTTAAAGTGAGCACTCTTTCTGATGACGTGAGCAAGCTTGCTGCGCGGAACAGGATGACTGAGCTACGAGTCACAGAACTAGAACGTAAGTTTGTTGACCTCATCATCATCATCATCATCATCATCATAGAACATAGAACATAGCACATACCATTTACAGGAATTATTGACTAACGGTGGCCACCGTTAACTATTAAGCTAAGAAGTTATTATTCTCCAAGCAGAGGTTTGAGTTTTGGGGGGTATTTTTAGCGTGTTTTTAGAGTTTTTGTTGGGTTTGGTGGGAAAAAATTCGGTGCAAAAAGTGAAACCCCAATAAAAATGCCTAAAAACACGCTAAAATACCCCAAAAACCCAAACCTCTGCTTGGAGAGTAAGAAGTTAACTCCACCTCGTCTAACTCACAAGTGGTGTCGAGCCTGACATAGACATGCTAAATTAAAGAACAGATCATGTCTCTAAAGGAATGTTCTTTCAGCTTTCAAGAGATGACAGTAAAACAGGTACAAGAGCAGCTAAAATCGTTACCCCCTGGCAGTGCAACCGGGTATGACAACATAGACAACAACTTGCTAAGGTTTTGCGCCAATCACATTGCTAAACCACTCTATACCACATATTCAACCGCTCTTTCATACAAGGAATCTTCCCCTCTCAATGGAAGAGAGAAAAAGTTATACCACTGATAAAAGACAAATCCTCCCCACTGAATGGACCAAATAGCCGCCAAATTAGCTTGCTACCCGCCTTTAGTAAAGTCATAGGGAGAATATGCCAGAAGCAAATCCAAACCTACATGATTTCAAACGAAATTTTTTCCGGTAATCAAAATGCGTATAAGCCACTCTACTTCTAGTGCGCATATACAAATGACCGATTACTTGTTGGAGGAGATTGACAAGGGTAACTTCGTAGGAGCTGTCTTGTTAGATTTCATTGTTAGGAACCAAAAACTGCAACTTTCCGTTGACGACAAAAGTATTACACAGGTCGAAGATGCGAAATTACTAGATGTTACAGTAGACCAGCAGCTTCCATGGGTACTGCGGGTCAACAATGCAAAGTTGAAAATGGCAGGCGCACTTGCGTCAGTTAGGAAACATAAGGATCACTTGACCTCCAACATGTTAAAAACTGTACTACAGACTCTGGTTCTATCTCACCTTGACTATTGCTGCGCCCTTATGTCATCATCGCCACAAACCCAAATAGACAAACTACAAGTCGTGCAGAATCGAGCGGCTAGGCTGGCAACAGGTGCACATTGGAATGCCGACTTGGATATCTTACACATCCAGTTAAACTGGCCTTCAGTAAAAGAGAGATTGTTTACCGGCACAATCAACACATTCCATAAATTAGTAACAGAGAAACAGCCTAGATGTATTTTCAATAGATTAAAAACAATTAATTCGGCACATTCGCACAACACTAGAGTGGCAAAAGAAGGAGCATTCCAGCAATCTTAACCTAGAACCAACGCCATGACTCGAACATTCGTACACAGGTGCATTAAAATATACAACACTCTGCCTACTCACATCACATCCTTAAACTCACGAACGTTTAAAGAAAAAAATGGAATTGGACAAAAACACATTAAACAAACACAAACCAATCAACTCCTGGTGGTAAACGTTTTGAATATTTTTTTTTACAAATTCATGACCTCTGACCTCTCAGACATCTATTAAAAAATTGTTTTTTTTTTGGTTAACTGTATAATGTAATATTATTACTTGATAACTGTATAATGTAATATTATTAATTGATGTAATAATTGATGCTTAATGTGTAATTTACTGTGTTGATAAGATAAGTTTTCCAGTAGTATAATGTCCTTGATAGCAGTTAAACGTGTATGTAAATAATTGTTGTATTTTATGTAAAGGACTCCAGGAAGAATAGTGATGTATATATTATTACTAATGGGAGATTCCTAAATAAACAAACAAACAAACAAGCTTCTTAGGAGGTCAACCGTTACCAGTATCTTACTGAAAGATTCTAAGGATTCTAACGGCACAATATATATACACACAGTACTGCCCCACCTCTAATTCATCTCATATCGGTTTCAGTTATTTCCATTTCAGTTTATTTATCATAGAACATCAATTGTACACCAGAAGACTACCTTATCTCTTTTTCTGTATCCTGTAATATATAATATTATTGGCCCATTGTCAGTTATTGTCACAGTTTGTAACAGGCTTTTCAGCTAATGAAAGCACCAAATCTCTCTATATCTTGTAGGAATGTGTCTGCTTCCTGGGCCAAACCACTCTCCAGAAAATGGCCTGTTGACGTCACCGACTCCACCAGTTGCGCCTGGGTCTTCTGAAAAGGTGACCACAGAATACGCCGGAGCCTTTGGCCCTTCTAGGCCGTCCGGGCCCCCGAGAAAAATGGGAGAAAAGGGGCCAATGGGGCCGCCTGGCCCTGCGGAAAAGGCCGGTAAGCTAAGCTCTACCGGGTCTCCTAATCCACTAGCGCTCGGGCCCTCAGGAGAGAAGGGGCCAATCGGACCGGCTGGGCCGCCCGGCCCCCCAGGAGAGAAGGGGCCAATGGGGCCGGGTAGTCCTGAGGGAAAGGCCGGTAAGCCTGGCTCTACCGGGGCTCTTGGGTCGCCCGAACCCCCGGGAGAGAAGAGACCCATGGTGCCGGCTGGGCCTGAGGGAAAGGCTGGTAAACCTGGTTCTACCGGGCTTCTTGGGTCCCCCGAACCCCCGGAAAAGAAGGGCCCCATTGGGCCGACTGGCAGACCTGGTCCTTCGAATTCTGGATTTCTTATTGCCGAAGGAAAGAAGGGGCGCGTGGTGCTGCCTCCTCCTAGGAGAATGAGTAAAGCCGAGTTATTTTGGGGTTAACTATGTGTGCCTAATACAGACCGTGGCTATGAGTGGATGGTATTTCTACTGGAATAAACATAAGTAACAGATCTACATTACTGCTTGTTGACTTTTGCCAGTAATGTAGGACGGATACCCAGAATGACTATATAGTTTGGTACATTTTTGATGGTAAATTAGAGTTTATGCATTTTCAGAAATATTGTTATGTATGTACAAAGCCGATTGTGTCACATGTCATGCAAAATAAGGAGGTACCATATTCTTGTTAACGATAAAGTCCTGTTAAATGGATATTATTTATAGATCTTTGTATGAATGAATGATTGAATGAATGAATGAAACTTTATTTTCGTGTCGTGCGCTTTCCCGCGCCCAGCCCGCACCGTTTGAGTATAAATTATACAAAAACAAAAGAGAATCAAAGGTACAGAAACAGAATCCAAACAAAATATGAACACAAATAAAGGTAGGCTATATACAATAATGTGAACAACAAAGTGAACTCATGAGAGATCGTAAATGCAAATAAACAAATCTGTATATATGTTTAAAGTTAAAACTTTTGGTCCAACACAAAAAATTCTCTCGCCAATTAATCAATTTGAGCTTTTGACCAGTCACTCTGGTCTTCCTCAGTAGACTGACCCAGTGAATCTTGTCACGTGGCTTCTTTGAAATGTTAAGTCAACACCTGGTTAAAGGTATCTGGTAGACGATGTCGGCCCCTGTCGCGGTTCAATGTAGGGTGATGGGCCCTGATGTTTATGGCTTCCTTCACCCCTCTTAAGAAATAGTCTTGTTCAGTGTCTAAAATCCTTACAGTGCCAAGTGAAAAAAAAATGTCCGGGTGACTCTATGTGGATGTGTTGAGACACCTCTGAACTGGCAGAGCTAGGCCGTGTATGTTCTTGAAACCTGGCTTTTAGAGACCTCTCTGTTTGTCCAATGTACGTTTCCTGGCAGGGCCCCTTGTTGTTTTTGCCCTGACAGGGGATGTGGTAGATGACACCACACTTCTTCTCTTTGGGGGTTTTGTCCTTGGGCGCAACAAGAATGTGTCTTAAAGTAGCTATATATAGTGGTTGGTTTGAAACAAGTTGCAATCCCGTGGGAAATGAAAATCCTCCTGAGAGCTTCAGACAAGTCCTTTATGTAGGGAAGGACTACAAACCCCTTGGACTTTTTTCCTGCTGAGGGTTTGGTGTTGAGTGGTTTGGGGCAAGTCGCTTTGTTGATGGCCCCCTGGGGGTAGCCATAAGGTTTTAACCCTACCTAGACCGGGCTTTTTTTGGTATGGGGGGACCGGGGGGCTCATTTGACCCCCCCCTCAGAACTCGCGAATTGTATGTCGTATGACCACCAAATTTTTAGAGAATGGTGTACTAGTGACAGTTTATCATATCTATAATTTTTATGTCGTTATAACGTAATATGACGTCATTATGACGTCATTAATGCGATTTTTTCGGCCAAAACCATCTAGATAGGTTTTTCCCTGAAAACTAAATGGTATTCAACGTAACTTTACCAAAACAGAATATAAGGGCGTACTAAGTCTTATGTTGCCCATAGCAACACTGGTGACGTCATAAAATGACGTCATGCATATTTAAGATATCCGCCATCTTGGATCATCAATCTTGAATTTTCAAAAATAGTTTTTTTTTCATGATAAAGCCTAAAATACATAGTAAACATACTAAAGACCTTCATTTAAACCTTTTTTGGAAAAAGAAATGGAAGTATTGATGAAATTTTAATGAAAATAACCTGTATATACCTGTTCTAATGATATGGTCCACCATCTTGGATTTTGGACAATGACGTCATCAAATTAGCATAAATTATGCATATTTAATGATGAAATTTACATAAATTTATGTGGGATGTTATTAATATTAGAAACCATGAGTAACTTGACATAAAACCCATAAAATTCTATTGTTGAAACAAAAATTACTAAATTTAGCCAAAAATGCCTGTCAGAAACCCGTTGCCATGGCAACACAAAACATTATTATCTTATTCCAATGATAGAGAATTGTTGCCAACAATATTCTAGGAAAAGTCACCAAGTTTGGCCGTTCTACGGCTAGCCGTTCAGACGCTAGGTGACATCAAAGTTGCCGCGGGCACTTTTAGCCCCCCCCCCCCCCCGGTCTAGGTAGGGTTAAATCTAATGCAATGGCCAGGTGGCCCTTAAATATGAGTGTTGATTTGACTTTATATCAATGATCTGAGATCCGTATATATAGGCGGTCCCTATTATATTTTTGAGATTAATTCGATGGCCAGGAGGTCGTTATGTAGAGGTGGCCACAAGTACATGTTTGAATGTATATCAACGGCCGGAGAAGATTATGTAGAGGTGGTCACTAAGGGCATTTTGAAACGTTTATCAATGGCAAAGTAGTATATAGTCAGAATGTCCTTATGTAGAGGTGGTCACTGTTGTTCGTCCGTCGAGTCGACGATGACCATAACTGAATATATATCGATGACTGGGGGCCCTAATGTAGAAGTGGTCACTAGTAATTGTTTGAGCTTATTTATCAATAGCAAGGTGGTTCCAATGTAGAAATGGTCACTGGTACATGTTTGAATGTATATCAATGACTGGAGGTTCTTATGTAGAAGTCGTCACTAGAACATAATTCACTATATATCAATGACCGGAGTCCTTATGTAGAGGTCGTCATTAGTACATGTTTAACTGCATATTAATGGCCAGGTGGTCCGTATGTAGAAGTCGTCACTTGTTCATGTTTCAATGTATATCAATGACCGGAGTCCTCATGTAGAGGTCGTCATTAGTACATGTTTAACTGCATATTAATGGCCAGGTGGTCCGTATGTAGACATGGTCACTAGTACATGTTTGGATGTATATCAATGACCGGGGTCCTCATGTAGAGGTCGTCATTAGTACATGTTTATTTGTATATTAATGGCCAGGTGGTCCGTATGTAGACATGGTCACTAGTACACGTTTGTATGTATATCAATGATCGGAGTCCTTATGTAAAGGTGGCCACTTGTACATAATTAATGGCCAGGTGGTTCTTATGCAGATGTGGGCACTGGTGCAGGTTTGACCGTATATCATTAACTAGGTGCATCTTACTTTTTTATGTATTGAAGACCAACACTGAATGGACATGTAGTCCTTTGGAAAAGGTTGTCACTAGTAGAGTTGCGAATTTTTATAAAAAGAGTTTCATATACTAGCCAGAAGTCACAATCTTTAGTGTAGCCGCTGTTTTTTAACGGTGTCGCTCAATGCAAGGCCATTGGCCACTTCTAGGCATAGAGCTAGCCTGTAACTGTAGCAGAAACTCTTCTCCCTGAGTCAGAAACATCCTCACAAGTAGTGAGGACTAACTGACCCACTAGGAGAAGCAGGGGTTACGAGGCTGGTCGGGTTATCTTCTCTACTGTTAACTCTTATGGAATGGTCATTTATCTCTAGAGCACATTAAGCGGACTCGTGACTTCAGTTCTTCATTAAAAAGTAAAAACTGTACCTGTTGTTTGTTGCATTGACTTAATAAAAGCTTTGCCAAGAAACCTGTGGTAATCATTTTGTTACATGTTGATTTGCACAACTAGTTAACTTGGGCAGGTTTTGATCGCTGTGTAGGTTCAGCTTAAAAGTTAATGGCTGTTTTAATGGAAAAAATGTATAGCACCAACATTACGTTTACATATATTTGGTGTTTGTATAGCCATGACTGAAATGTATGTATTGTCAGCCATATTGGATGGTTAAACCAGGACGTATCCAGGTACATTGAGTTAATGCTGGTACAGTCCTATAAACACGGCACAATCACACTAAGATGTATGTTTGTACGTGTTCTCACTCTCGTGACTTGGACACCATTGGCTGTTATTTCGAATAGTTAAATCTGGAAGTTGGTCTTCTGCAGCTTAATTTGAATCTGTACACGGATGTTGGACTAATGCGTGGACACAGATGCATTCCAAGATCAGGGTGTACAAATGGAATCCCGGGCTCGGGAAAAATGTTAAGGAAATATCTAATAAAGTAATTATTTGTAAAAGGAAAACGTTTAGTTGCCGTCCGTATATGCTTCTCGCAGTGGAGTTTTACGCAGGACCAGCGGTGGCGGTTGGGTAAATGGGTACTACCGGGAAGGAAGATAAGGCCACACCTACTTAATTTTGTGGATGACATCCTCTGAAGACCCCAGCAATAGTCCGCGCGGGCTAATAAAAAAAATGCAGCCAAAAATAAAAATGCTACTAAACCATAGGAATACAAAGCTGGTACTGTGAATGTATCATAGCGACGTATAAGACAAGCCGGCACAAGCTTACTTTTTTGCGGATTTGATGAATTTGCACTGCATTTTGGCCTTGGGAACGGCTCCACTCCAAAGCTTCATTATCTGTTAGTGCAAACAGTTCCAACGCTTACCTGGATTGAGTATTGTCGTTTGGGAGCCGCTTTTGCCCAAACATTTATTTCTCACTAAAGCTACTTTAAAAAGAATAAAAGTGTTAAATCATTGTATGAATGGTTTTGATTCAGTAGCACCATAACATGTACACATCCACCATGACATATATTACTGCATCAAAGTAAAAGACAAAACTTTTAAATCGGAGATTTGTCTTCTTTCCTCCCTTCATATTCATCTACCATCCACATTCTGTTATTGCCACAGACATCTATTTCGAACATTTCTGCACCATAAACCCGCCACGTTTTACATTTAGAGCAAAAACAGCAAGGACCAAAATGCCATCTGCTCTAAATACTTTATTACCGGAGAGTATTTTTGGATTTGTTCACATCACATTTATTAGGACTCCATCGCCATATGTCCACTACATCCATCAATAGCCACAGAGCTCTGAAAAAAATATAATACTGAATCACAATAAGTCGGTGCCTGACAGGTGGTTTTCGGAAACGAGAAGTACAATATGACAAGTTAATGCACAAATTCTAGATTCTAGATATAAACGATAATCGTCAAAACGGATATACCACACAGTATACACAATAGTACAAGTCATTTTTGAATGCTGCTTTTCGTTTTAAAATCTTTGGCTATCAGAAAATATGAAAACCTGTTAGAAATGTGATATTACTTTTCAGTAACAAACATTTCTTGATATCACTACGTATCATCTGTATTTAAAAAGGATTTTAGTTAAAATGGTATACAACACAGTCTACTCAACAGTACAAGCCATTTTGGAATGCTGCTTTTCGTTTTACAATTTTTGGCTATTAGAAAAGACTAGCACCTGTAAAAAGGTGACTTTGACATTGTCTATTTCTCTATTGACATTTCCTGGTATGACAAAGTATCATCTGTATTCAAAAATGATTTTAATCAAAAATGATATACAACGAAGTCTACACAATAGTACAAGTCATATTTGAATGTAGCTTTTCGTTTTAAAATCTTTGACTACCCAAATAGAGGAAAGCTTGGCTCTGTAAAAAGACGAAAACTAGTTTCATAGACGATATTCATACAATGGAGAATTCCCCTTCCTATAAGCTTTCACACAGCTTCAGCTTTCACGACAAGTCAAACTTGTCTGCCTTACTTTAATTTCAAGCTAAGATGCCCCTCAATGCGTTGTTGTGGCTAGGGTTGTAGGCGTAGAATCTTAAGAATCTAACGAATACTGGTTCTAATCAATAGCAGGTCCAAATGCAGAGGTCTGCTAGGGTACATTAATTCCCATTGGGAAAGGCACTTGAGACCTATTTCCTCTTACTCACCTAGTAAGGCAATACAAGTGTACATTGAACACAACTCTCCGTGCAGTTGTGACACAACAATAGAATAACTTGATACAGGCAGAACAAACGCTTCAAGTGTGGAGTAATTTGTCATTATTTATCCTGATGAAGGCAACAGTACCATGGAACAACCCTTACTGTCGTTCTAGTGTCTAATTACTTTATTACATTGGATTATAAAAGATCAATTAGAATTTGCCTGTATTCCCACAAAGCACATATTCATTCCCCCTATTCGTGCTGTACTTTACCTTTGTTTCATCTACCTGTTGTTAAATTTGGTTTTGTTTAGAAGATTCATTGTGTTGTTTCACTTACTTACTTACTTTTTTATTATTTATTATCATTATTTTGTGATTTGAGGAAATTGTAGTATTGTTTTACTACGTATGTATTATAACATAAGAGCAATAAAATTGAATAAAATACAAATTACCATCTATTGCTATGATAGCATATGTTTTATTACCCTCCATGTAAATGGGGGGTATTGTTTTTACTCCGTTTCATGTTTGGTCTGATATCTGAAGATCGGTGAGAAGGAACTGTATGATATTTGGTAGATTGATGGATGGGGCCTTGGGGATTGTGTAGGTTGACTTTGAGCACCTGGTGATTGACCTTGGTACTGCAGTTTAATTTTTTTATTCTATTGTTGGCACGTTATGGTCTGTGTGTGCGATGCTAAGGTAGCATGTAGTTGTGGTTACAATGGTTTAGTGATGTAAATTTGGGCCCCCTAGCTGTTTGCTTTGAACCGGAATTGCTATCTCAATGTCAGATTGTTTGCGTTGAATGATCTCAGAACCCGGTGGATGGTTGGCGATCATTTTTGGTATGTGGGTAGACGCTGATTGTCTTTGCGTTTTAGCGTGCATTAGCAGGTTGTCGTAGATTTGCATTGCTTATTTAAAAGGATTTTCACATTTTCACCCCTATTTCATAATAGGATGGTCTGTTTGACCCCAGAGTGTTTTTGTTTATATCTCCAGCTGGCAGGTCAGGCCAATCTATTTTTACCTCTAGACCGTGTCTGCAGGAAATATATCTTATCTTTAATCGGTCATTCAGCAGGGAACTGGGTCATCTGTGGTTTGTTAATATGTTGTGCTTGAGAGGTCATTTGACCTCAAACAAACCATGGTAACAAGACACTAAACGCCTGCACATGACAGCTTGATATAGGCAACCCCTTCCAATACGAAGTGCCACAACAAAATTCTTAAAGGATAGACATCTATAGACATCTATCATTCTGCTGATAAAAACAAAGTTTGACTCATAATATCTCTATCAAAATACACCAAAAGGTTACAAAATAACAAGCTATTTCATGGAGGGACGATGTCTACGACTTCTCCTTGTTGGAAATTGGTTCACTTTGTTACTGACTTATCATCGGTTGGTCAACTTGGCCAAGCTTCATTCGCATCCCTGAAAAAAACGGATAATATAGAGATTACTAGTTTATAGGTATTTATGAAGAATGCTTTTACAAGTTTAAGATTCATCTTTTATTATTGTGAATATTGAAAGGAATATGTTAGGGATGTTAGGATATTTGGAAACATTGGGAAAGGGCTCGAAATACCACAAGCATATCCAGGTTAGTGCAGGTAAAATTGGAGCTGTGCAAGTATTTCTGACGTCTACCTGCAACTAACCTGCACTGGTCCATGTGCTTGGTATATGAAGGTTTGCGCAGGTAAAATTGCTAGCTGTGAAGGTATTTCTGATATCTATCTACACCTAACCTGCACTGGTCCATGTACTGGGTATATGCAGGTTAGTGCAGGTAAAATTGGAGCTGTGCAGGTATTTCTGATGTCTACCTGCACCTAACCTGCACTGGTCCATGTACTGGGAATATGAAGGTTAGTGCATCTAAAAGTGGAGCTGTGCAGATTTTCCTGCTGTCTACCTGCACCTAACCTGAACCAGAGCGAGTACATGTTACAATGTATGACAACAACTGTTGAAAATAGTGCAAACGTAAAAAAAATATTTACACTTTGAAAACTAAAGCAAGGCCTACATACAATCGACTGGGGCTTAACATGATTTTTGGTGTTTTTACTAATAACAAAATCTATTTTTGCATCGTGGAAGTTGTTGAATTTAAAGATATACTTAGATCTGGCTGTTGCATTGAGTCCTTTGAAATCTGCTGTACTTGGTTTGATTTAAATGTGATATCTTGTTACGTAAAGCATCATATGAAGAGGGTTTCATGACAAAGTCAACTTCATCTTCAATCGATTTGGAAAAAAAATGGGCAAACCCTTTTAAAATATGCTCGTGGTGCGACTTGGCAGATTATGAATTTATGGCCATCGCACGCGACTTCGTTCCAATAAGCTACCTACTTTGAAACATTACGTTATGCAGATGACACACGTGAGTCGGGTTAATAGTGGATCAGATGTTCAGTAAAAGTCTGTGGTGCCCCCGTCGTTGTTGAGGGATTGTTGTAATGCCCTGATGTAGATGACCACCTTAATACCTCGTGGACAGAAGTCTGGTTCTGTGTCGAAGATTCTTACTTTGGCCAGTGAGGTCGAATGTCCAGACCAGTCCATATGTATATGCATTAAACTTTCGACCTAGCTAGACAGTGCCTAGCCTTGAGTGATCTACTGCTCATCGAGTCACGTGTGTGATCTGTTTAATGTAACTGGTTATTGACAATTTGTTGTTTCATCCCATCTACAGAGGGGTTTTATATAAAACACAGGTAGATGATCTGATAAGTCTGTAACGAGAAGACATGGTGTGTGCATGAATTATTGATAGCGTTTGGCATTATCTGTCTATTAATATTGTTGTAGCCATAATTCTAGGTTTTTCAGGTTTAGTATATAACAGTAGGGAAGAAGGTGCAAAAATACAAGGTGTTAAGAAAGTCAGAAGTTAAATAGTGGAATAGTATAGAGCTTTTTTTTCTATTTTAGAGGAGGATATTGTCACTTATATGAAAAGGGATTCGAACATGTTATCTTCTGACTGTAACACTAGATCATTTCGTTTAATGTAGTCAAGGCTCTGGTGTATAAAGATAGACACTCTCCTCCGCCTACTCTTTTTGATCTACAACAATGTGGTGAAACAGTGTCTGGTATGTCATAATGGTTTGTGGTAGGGTCGTTGAGCCAAGTTTCAGTTAGGCCAATGGCTAAAAAGTCATGTTGCAGGGTAGATAATAACTAGTAAAGCTATGACGATTCCGTAGAAGTCTCCTTATGTTGAGGTGCAAAATTGAAAAAGGAGAGTTGGTAATTTTTTTACACATAGTGTTAAATGATTGTTCAGAGTAATACTGACAAGTAATATTCGTAAAGTTGTTTAAAATTGCGTCTGGGTCCAAGTGTGTATTTTAATTCACTTTCGATCTATTTTCAACAAAAAGAGTTTTAACATGTTAAATGAGGATAATCGGATATTTAAAAAATATCCGATTATCCTCATTTAACATGTTTGGAAATCTAGTTTGTTTTGTGTTGGTAATGTTTGACATACCCATGTTTGACATACCCAATTCATCAACCTCAAAATCCTATCAGTCAGTGGTCAGTAATTACACCATTTTCCCTAACAAGTACAATTAGCGTCATGTGATGCTATCGTATTTAACTACTAATGAACACCCACACACACGCACACACACAGACACACACACACACACACACACACACTTCCATGGAGCTCCGGAGGTGACCTTGACTGAAAAACGGCTCACTTTGACTTAAAAAAGCACCAGGCCGATTTCTAAGGCACATGAAATCAGATCTTACCACATGACGGTACGTCACACAGCTCCCATCTCGAGTTAGGATCCGTGGTAAAGCACCAGACTCCGAGTTCGCCGTCCGGGTTCCGGCAGTAGTTCCGCTCAAGCCCAGCCGATGGGTAGGCACCAGGTGTCTTGATGTGTTCATGGGGTGTCTGACTGTCCCAGCGTTGACACGTCTTGCCTGTGTTGGTCACAGAGACTGTTCCTCGGTAGGACGCCCCATCTGCGTACTGGCAGCTTACTGGTGGATAAAATTGAAATAGAAATGAATTAAACCAGAAACGTTATAAAAACTCTTTTAAATTATAAATAATTTCATCAGGTTGGTAAA